GGGATTAGGGATGGTTGGATTCGATGATCTACAAGGTCTTTTCCAACCTAGAAATCTATGAATCTATGATACTACTCTGATGTTTTCAGTCAAGGACTTTCAACTTCCTGTGCTCTGCCAGGTGCCCGAGAAGGTGCAAGGGAGCATAGCCAGGACAGCTGACCCAAACTGACTAAAGTGATATTCCGTGCCATACAACATCATGCTCAGTATATAAACTGGGGCAGTTAGCTGGAGGTAGTGATCACTGCTTCGGTCAGAGGGTGGTGGGCAATTGTATTATGCATCACTTGTTTTGTATATTCTTTTATTATTGTTGTTTTTATTATTATTCTTTTTTTGTTTGTTTTATTGAACTATTTTTATCTCAACCTACGAAGTTTTTCCAATTCTCCTCCTCATCCCATTGGGCAGGGGGAGTGAGAGAGCAGTGGCGTGGTGCTTAGTTTCAGCTGGGATTAAACCACAACAATAACACAATTACTTTTATTTCTTCTTTTCATTTTGTAATTCGTCTCTAATACAGTTGGCAGCACCATCCAATGTATTCCCTGTAAGGAAAGGCTCTACCACAAGGACCTTGCCCAGTCTTTCTTGAATGTGTAGCAAAAACCTTAATGTATGCATAAATACATACATACATTACTGTTCTCCACTGGTGATTTGGCCTTGCTCTAGGAGGATTTCTGATTCCAGAATGTTTGAAGGACTTCTATTTTTTTTTTTTGTAGGCTTTCTGCAAATTCTTTAAATTATCTCTGACCTACTTTTCTGAGTATTTTACATTTGTTTGATTAGCATTTGTCCTTTGAGGCTAGAGATGGCTTCAGCTTTTCAAGTGATACCTCTTGTAATACCTCTCCTTACCCTGCTGTTCCAGCCTCAGTGAGCTCCTTTGGCCCTTCCTTATGCTTTTTCTTTTTTGACAATTGTGTATTTGCTCTGACTTCCCATGGGATTTCTCTAAATGTCTTCCCATATTGCGTATATGCATTTTGCTCTCTTAAATCTTTTGAAACACAGTTTGTGTAGCTGTCCTTTTTCGAATTAAGCAATGCCAGAACTGATCTGTTGTTTTTGCAAGGTATGCGAAGGTTCCTATTCAAGTCGTTCCTCAATGTTTTGAATCAGTTTCTGTTCGTTGTTTGTGTCAATCAAACTTCTTTAGTTCTCTGATAATTTCTTAATGAAATAACAGTTTACAGTTTATAAAAATTTGCACTTAGCATTGTATGACTCAAATCTGTATGGTGATGATTGAACTCTCCTGTTACTGGGATTCCTATCGCTGCACCTATCTAGTCTCCTCCAGCCTGAGAGATGTACTACAGAACTATACATCTCAGATTGTTTATTCTTCCTACAGTAACTCTTAAAGAAAAGGCCTGTAAATGGTCTCCTGATATAGGAGAAATATGATTTTCCACCTATCACTATTCCAGGCATATTAACTGTTTTTGAAATGCAGAAAAGACCTTGTCATCACATGGATCTGGTGTTCTAATTACTCTCCAAGAATAAATCTGTGCTGGCTCTAAAACCTGTACTTTTTTTTTCCCTCCCTCAAATGTTTTTCCATGTTTTTCAGCATGTCCCACTTCCTGTTGCTTTCACTTGCACCCTGTCTGAAGGATGCCATGAAGATTATGGCTAGTGATCCTTGAGTCTTTTTACTGACTTTTTTTTTTTTTAACTTGGTATTGACTATTGTCTATGCCAATAGGTTCATTTCCCTTTCTTTGGCTTCACTTGGAAAGTGTCACATTTGCTATTTCTTTATATTACTTCAGCAGGCTGTGTCTGGGAACTTCACTGCTCACCCCTGCCCCCACTACAATGAAGTCAAATAAGCAGCTGGTACCCTGTCCTGAGGAGGCATTCTACAGATTAGCCAAAACCAAGTAATAAGCACAGTTTTAAATCACTTACTCTCTAGGCTTGTTTAAAATACTTCGTGACTGTGTTTTGATCAGTAATTAAATTAATAAAATCTATCCTGATTGTATCAAGTATTTACATTTTTGCATTCTTCATTTATTGATGCAGTTTTTCAAATACTAATTATTTGTGATAAAATGATAATATTTTTTCTGATAAGTTTACCAATTAGAAATTATGACTTATCTGAAATGGGATGGGAAATCTTAAGGCCAAATCTGGATCTTACTCTATAATATTGTTTAAGTTGGAAACTTTTACTGAAATCAGGACAGAGTATTTTCATTCAGTTATTATTCTTGAGATTAATTAGGTGATGGCTTGATAGGTAGAAAGGTTGTGTAGAGCTCGCGCTTGCTTGTTTTCTTCTATGTGTCTGTTACAGTATACAACAAGGGTGTGACTTCCTCGGAACAAGTCTATATGCCTATGGAGAAGTCATTTAAACTCAATTATAGTCCATAGGGTGAAATTATCTCCTTTAAAAAGGAGATGTCTATTAGCAATGTTTTAGACATCCTGTTTAAAAGAGGATAAACAATACAAATTTCTAACAGATTGTACCTCTAAGTCTCTCCCTTTACTATAGGGAGGTGGAGGGAGAACACCACCTCTAAATGGATGAAATATTTTTGAAAATTGTTCCGGTTTAGGTCTCAGATTTTTCATCCATATGTTAAGTGTCCCAAGTAATGGAATGCAAGTTAATGCTTATCATTCTTTCAGAACTTTAAAACCAAATACACTGTTACTTCATGTTCTTAAATACATATAGAGCATCAGGTTATATCCTATAATCACCCTGCACATTTATTACATGTCTGCATTTTTCCTGCAATAGCTGGAAATCTCTTCTATTGAACTAGAAGAAAATGTAGGTTTTTTGACCCACTCAATCTCTTACATGCAGTGTGATTTTTGGGTTGCCTTTAGTAGTTTGCACAGGATCAGAAGGAAGTTGCAACTGATTCCTCTGCGCAGGGCTTGAGTATGATATAGCCTGACAACTTCAAATTAACTTGTTATTCTATGATTGTGATTTCACATACTGTAAGTCAAATTCTAGTGAAGTTGACTGATTCCAGCAAACTGGTTTGAGTATCTATGTGTATGTGAGAATGGCTCAAGCTAGTGAGAAGTTCATCACTGAATCAATGTCTAGTTTATATGTTTCTGCATTTATTGCATAATGTGTGTAATTGGATTAAAGCATACAGAAAAATGGCAAATTAAAAACCCTTTAAACTTTTTCTGGCTGTAGCGAAGCAAAATTGTCCTGATTTGGGGGAGGGAGCTGTTGAAAGGGAGGCCGGGGGTGTAGTATTTAATGGTAAGCGATCCATACATCCACAGGGGCCGTGGAGGAGTGCCTCCACCACCAACAGGAGTACCGAGAGGGGCACCAGCACCCAGAGGAGTGCCTCCCAGTAGAGGACCAGTCAGTCGTAGCCGTGGACTTCTAGCACCCAGAGCAAGAGGAGTACCTCCACCTGCAGGCTACCGGCCCCTTCCGCCACCTCCGGCACAGGAGACTTACGGTGAATATGTAAGTTGAGCTGTTGACGGACCATGCATGAAGCGTGTAATTTTGGAGGGATGATCCTAACTATTGCTTCAGAACTCAGTAGAGTCTCTTTAATTAGCACCTAATTAAGTCTTGCACCCAGAATCTGTGGCAAATATGATCATCTCTCATGACCTTTTCAGACTTGAACTGTTTCGTATTAATAAAACTTCAGGTTATATGTACTACCGTAAAGACGTTTACGGTGCATTTGGCAAAATAGTTGTGTACCTCTTAAATGTATTGTATTAGTTTTCTGCTTTACAAAAATCTGAAAAATCACATTGTCAGTAGATTTTTAATTCTCAGCTAAAACTGAGAATAATATTCTTCTGTTCTTCCTAAACCTGTCGTTGTGGTCATATAACTGTTCAACGATTAGACAATTAAAATACTTTTATGAAAGCTTCAGAAATGATGCTAAAATTTTAACAATGTACAGTGCATCTCAATAAGCCATACGTATTTATCTTGATTTTATTGTATTAAAAATTAAAAACCATATAAAAATACTTTACATTGTACATGGCTGAAAATTATAGATAGTTAGGAATTGTTAGGATAAATTTAATTGATCCTGAACTTACAGAGCAGTGAGATAAAGAAAAAAGTTTATTAAATCAAAACAATTATCATAAAAATGGATATAGTCTTATATAAAGTAACTTTTTCAAGGACAATGCTTTTAATGTTTTATATATCGTAAAGCTTTTAGTGTACCCACTTTACAGCCAGGTCTGTATGGACTTTGTGTCTGTTGTTCAGAGTAGAGGAAAAAAGAATTCCTGAGCTCCAGAAAATTGTTTTGTTATTTAGACGTTTTTTGCTTTTCTCTCAACCTTTCTTCCACCTGCCTTCTCTCTCTCTTCTTTCACCCGCACCCTCCAAACTCTCTAAATCAAATCCCTAACCATTATCCTTTTAATCAGAAACTTAGTTTTCTACATAAGACTTACAGCTTTATGCAGAAAGAAGTTTAATGTCGTTAGTATATTTATATGCATACCAGAACAATTCAGAAGAAATTAATGTGGTTTATTAATGTTATGAGAACTAGTCCTTGAACAACGTATCTAAATGTCCCGTGGCTATACCTGACTTGACTAGTCAAGGTGGGCACTGTAAATAAGTGACTACTTCACAATGCTTTCAAAGGAATTAGTCCTCTCTAAATAGCCTGTTTCCAGGGCGTACACTGTAGAATGCATGGTGATGTGGAAGAAAATAAACCTCTTTGAGTATCTTCATATCTATATATATCTGCTATTTATAGCATGTCTGTATAGAAATGGCACGAAAATACCAGCTGTTTGAATCAGTATCCTGATGTATGCTTTACTTCTGAGGAAGAATAATTAGAAAATAGCACTATAAAGAAAAACAGTGTTGTACTAAACTTCTAAAAAGAATGTTCTCTAGACCTGGATCACTTATCTTCCAAACTAGGTATCTTAACTGGGATAGATATATTCAAAGCTGTAATTGGTAAAGCAATGCTAGATGGTCCGTTTTAAAATTACCGTATTTTCTGTGCCTCCTTTGTTAAAACGGAGATTTGTTAGAATAAAATTTTGCTAGGACATGAACCGCTAGTGTATTGTATGTTAAACGTTGAATTTAATGCGTGTTATTTTTTTTTTACCTGCCCATTTGTAGTACATTATCAGAGTGCCTTAACTGTATCTTTTACAGGTTAAGGGAACATGGTAGGGGTCTTCACTAGTATTTCTGTCCTTTCCTTACTAATTGCTGTTTAGCCATATCTGGTATTAAGTGCTGGTTTGCCAACCTGACTGAGCAGGGTAAGGTGTCACTGTTTGCTGAGAAGTCTGTAAGACAAGAGAACATCAGTGAGATTGTGGGTGTCATAAGAAGTTACGTTAAGCACCACATATTTTTGAATCCTTGGAGACTAGGATGTCCAGGGAGATTACAGAGTAGCCTTTAGAACTTTTCCATTGAGGACTGGAAAGTCTGCAAGGATTCGTGAAGCTTTTCGTTCCTTTAGGTCTCCAAGCCTCTGCTTTGTACTCATTAAAATAATGTGAAACAATGCAAGTTCAGAAAAAAGCAAACTGTATTCTACAGGGAAGCCTTCAACCACTCGCCTTCTGCAACTGGAAATATCTCAGGGATGATGCAGGGCTTTCAGTACATGAAGTCCTTGCCCATTTCCTCTGTAGAGTACTATTAAGCGTACCTTGTGACAGAAAATGAGGCCATCATTGAGTCACAAACAGTCTTCATTTTCCTTCACTCCTTTTGCTGACTTTTTTTCTGTAGTCTTTGAGACCAATGAATCTTTAACACCTACGAGGATCTTACTCAATTCTGCCTCTCCTAATCTCTCTCCTTCCTCTTCTTGATTGTTTAAGAAGTTGTTTTTCAAAAGATAATATCAGAATGGGAAGCAGAATACCTACTTCACTCTGAAAAATTGGAAGAGTTAATTCTGGAGGCAGTATCTCACACAGGGAAAATCATGCTGCAGGCAAAAAAAATAAATCACTTGAGTTTAGACGCATTGTAACATGGGCTCAAGATGAACAAAACTGGGTGGCCATTGCTGTCCCATACTTGCAGCCCATGGGGAAGTTATCCAGAACTTACCTGTTAAAGTAAGTTCTACACAGAAGTAGACTACCCCCGTTGTCTGTCAACTTTCTGAGATGTTTGTAACGCTGACTCTGGATGTTTGATGTGGTCTTCTCTGCTGAAGTCACGCAACATTTTGGCCTAGCAGCAATATCTGCATGTTTTTCCAGTTTAGTACAACTAGTTTTCCGTTCCATTGCTGCCAGTCTCACTTATATAGCTCTCTCAGCCACAGGGCTCATTCCTTCTGAGACCTCACAATATTGTTAGTACCATGATGAAGATTTGGAAGCCACTAAATGACAGTTCCTTATTTTCTGTGAACATTGTCTTTTTAATAGCTGTAGCATCAGCTTAGATGATATAAAAAATTCAGATCTCTGTGGCCAGCCAGCTTGATAATCACTGGTCTAACCTCACTGCTCCATTTGGTGTGATAAACTTTCTCTGAAGGCTAACGTGCCTCCTGTTTTTATGTCCTCAACTGCCTAGGTCAGGAGAAAACCTAGTACGACGTGTGAAGCCTGACCAGGTTTATTTTTATGATATTTGGATAAGGGAAATCATACTAAATGATTGCTAGCTTTATTGAAGTACTTACAGATAGTTTCAGGAATGTTTTTATCTCTTAATTATATGAGAGTTTTTCTCTACTCATTGAACCAAACTGTGTAATAGATAAAAATATTTTCATGTATTTTTAAGTTGACAATTTATTCCATTAAGATAAGAAACAGAAATTTTATTTAACTACTAGCTGGAGATTTTAAGCTTTTCCATAATTTTCAATAAATAGGAAATTAGTAACCCAGCAATTCACTACTTCTTAATAGTGTCAATTCCTTAGCCAATGTTCAATCAAATGTAGGTTAGAACATAACTGTTCAGTCTCAGTTACTGCCTAGTAACAATTGCTCTCTTCCTGTTGTCCTTTTCTTACCAGCTTCAAACTTTAAGGCTTTTTCCAAATTAATAACACAGCAATGTATCTGAAGCTTTTTGAAGATTAGATTTTTATTTGCTGCTGTTTTCATTTTACAAAGGTAAATATTTTGCAAATATTTTGTAAGTATTTCAATTTTGTACTTCATATGGATATATTTGTGATCATGCCGTGTCAAGCCCCATTTTGGTTGCTTGAACGTATTAAACACAGAGGGAGATTTATCTGAGTTGATAATCAGGGTTTTTTTTTAAGCATTAAGAATTGGACTTTATCATGGATTTAAACCACGTTGCTGTGGCAGTGTGGAGTGTCTGCACTGAAAAATAAAACTCGGCAATCTAGCGAGTTATGGCTAAGACTTGCTTCAACACTACTTGGGAAAGCAATCAGATCTAAATGTCTCTTCCTAGTGTGTGTAGGGGAAGTGGTGGCAGAGCTTCAGATCTGTTTCTAGCAATTTTATTGATGTTTTCTTGTGTTCAGACAAGGGTTGCGTCAGCAGCAGATTTTTCTAAGGCAGTGACCACATGTGTAATTTCTAGCAGTTAATGCTTCAATTAGAATGCTTCAGTGAGATTGCTTTCCGTAATAAGAAATTGAATTAAGATGGAATGTCTACCAGTAAGAGACCTAGGGAGCCTTCCAAATGTTAAGTAAATTGTAACTTGAAAAAGAACGTTATGAACTATTTCCAATTACATTTAAAGATTTTTTTTTTTAACTTAAAGGTATAGATACAGACTTCTTAGAAGGGTGCATAGGACGCTTGGATACAAAAGGGATGCAGAAAACAGACTTTAAGATCTACTCTTTAAAATCTGTATTTAGTTATCACCTGATTCTGAGAGATCCTAAAGCTTACAGATTGCTAAGTTTTAAAAGTTTATAGTTCCTGAAGCATACATTTCTGGATATTTACAGAAATACATTGCTTTTACTGGTGGACAAAGCAGTGCTTCGGACTTAATTCAGCCTTAAGTTTGTAATTCTCATACTAAGTCTGTACTGTGAGATTATGCTCACACTACATGTACTAGAAAATACGTATATATTATAGATAGTAAGAGACTATGCTCATACTGTTTTTCATGAGAATTGGGGAAAACCCAAAAGACCTTACATAACACACTGGCTAACAAGATCCCACCCAAACGATGAGCAGAAGATGTGATGCTATATGTCTTGTCTTAATTTAGAGCTCAGTATTTCTCCAGTAGTGGAAGGCCCTTGGTTTAAATGCCCGTTGCAAGTAATTTTATTCCGTTAGTTCTCTCTGGAGAGGGTGTGCTGACCACCATGCTGGCTGTCCTAGCATACACAGTGTCAGGAGCAGTGGTTTCCTTACAAATTTGTGGGAGATTTAAGGGAAGTTTGTTCTCTAGCAACATTTGGCTGGATGGTGAAAAACAGAAATCCATTTCATAATCCAGTGATTATTATA